TTAATATTTTATAGATTTTATATTTATATATTTATAAAAGTAATTGGATTAAATTTATTATCCTCTCATATATTATTATACATTTAGCGTAATTTTAGTTTAATTTAAAATTAGAATACAAATATACTATACTAATATACCATTATATTATTTTCATTGTATATAAATTATAAAATTAATAATTTGTATACTATACTATACTAACATATTATTTGTATACTATACTAATAGTATAATATACTATATTATAATATTATTTGTATACAAAACTAATATCTTTATATATAAATATATAAATATGGAAAGATATAAATATATGTAAAAATATAAACATATAAATATATATAAATATGTAAAGATATAAACATATATCTTTAATATTTTGTACATGTAAATATAATTTATATATATTTTTAAATCTTTTTCTAATATTTATTTTTAAAAATATAATATTATTTTTAAAATTTAATATTTTTTTTCAAATATATAAATATATATAAAGATATAAATGTATAAGGATATAAATAAATATATCAATATATCAATATATAAATATATCAAAATATTAATATATAAATATATTAATATATTAATATATAAATATATAAATATATTAATATATAAATATATAAATATATTAATATATTAATATATAAATATATAAATATATAAATATATAAATATATAAATATATAAATATATAAATATATAAATATATAAATATATAAATATATAAATATATATATATATATATACAAATATATCAATATATCAATATTATCCCCTCATATATTAATATACATTATTAGCATAATTTTAATTTAATTAAAAATTAGAATACAAATATACTATCCTATACTAATATACCATTATATTATTTTCATTGTATATAAATTACAAAATTAATAATTTGTATACTATACTATACTAATATATTATTTGTATACTATACTAATAGTATAATATACTATATTATAATATTATTTATATAGAAAACTAATATCTTTATATATAAATATGAAAAGATATAAATATATGTAAAAATATGAAGATATAAATATATAAAAATATAAATATATGTAAAAATATAAAGATATAAATATATAAATATATCAATATATAAATATATCAATATTTAAATATATATTAAAATATATAAATATATTTTTATTTATAAATTTTATATTTATATATTTATACTGATATACATTTATTTGTATATAAATATAATTTATTTGTAAGTTATTATTAAAAGATTCTAGTAGCTCAATGGTTGGAGTTTCAACCTCCAACTCTAAGGTACCGAGTTCGAATCCTCACAATGATAATAAATCACCTAATAATAAGTTAAACTTCTAAAAAATATAATATAATTAAGAGATAGGGAAAATAAATATAAATAAAAACTTAAATAAGCAAAAATATAATATAATTAAGAGGTAGGGAAAATAAATAATAAATATAATAAAAATGTAAATAAATAAAAATAATTAAATTTGTTATTGATTTAGCGACCGATTTAAATCGATCGCTATTTTTTTAACTTTTTCATTGATTTAGTGACCGATTTAAATCTGTCGCTATTTTTTTACCTTTGTCATTGATTTAGCGATCGATTTAAATCGGTCGCTATTTAGCTACCGATTTTCATTTCGGTCGCTATTTAGCGACCGATTTAGCGACCAATTTTAATTATTATTTAAATAATTATATTAATATATTAGCGATCGAATATATTGGTCGCTATTTTTTAAAACTTTACCACTGATTTAGCGATCGATTTAGCGACCACTTAATTCGGTCGCTATTTTGGTCTCCAATGAATAAGTGACCAAATTATTTAGCGACCACTTTAGCGACCACCAGATCGATCGCTATTTAGCGATCGAAATGTAAATCGATCGCTAACAACTTAGCGACTTGCCCTTTTGCGACCAACCATTTTGGTCGCTAATTTCGGTCGCTAACAGAATAGCGACTGAATTTTGGCCATTAACGACAGATTTTTTCGGTTGCTAAAATCGATTTTTCTTGTAGTGGAAGGGTGGTTAAAATAGTTTTTTTCCATTCGTTTGTCGTTAATATGTAACCATAGACCCAAACACACACATTACCCACAAACACCTATTTAATAGCATTTAAATAATATTTTAAGTAAATTTGGTAAAAATAATTAGCAAAATAAATACAGTTTTACAAAATGACCAATATAAATAAAAGTTAAATTTTAAGATATAAATTTCAATAAAAAATATTTTTTAATACAGCTTGTAATAAAATAATAAATTATAAAAATTTATTATTTTTAAAAGATAAGAATAAAAGTTATCTACCAAGAAATAAATAATAAAAATATATCTTTGATGCGAGATTTTATATACAGTGGAATCACATTTTTACGATTTTAGTATTATTTAAAAGATAAAAGTAAAGTTATATTTTGAAACACAAAAACAAAGGTATTTGATACAAAATGTCTATACTTTCTTTTATAGAAATTTATTTATTTGTGAAGAGCAAACAAAAAGGTCTTGTATAAAAGCCTGAACTTTACTAAATCAATTTATGTGAAACTCGCTTTTAATCAAAATAGTGAATAACAGGAAAAACACCTTTTACATCAATTTCCTTTTATATATATATATATATAGAGAGAGAGAGAGAGAGAGAGAACTGATAGATTCTTGGATCTCGAAAGTGAAACTTTTCAAATCTTTCGTTCCTTTAAATCAATGTAAAAAAAATAAAAAATCGTTATATACAATTTTTTTAGAATCTATATAAAAAGGTTTTTCGTCATCTTCTTCTTTATTTGAATCCACTACTTGAACAAATCTAATTATTTGTTGTCAGTTGCTGCAAATCACAGTGGCGGGACCTCCATTTTTTGTTTTGTTTTTTTTTTTTAAAGGTTGGTTTTTGGTTGTCTTCGTAAAACACCTTTATATAATGGTATAGAAAATAAAAAATAAAGAATACAATAGAAATTTCAGAAGAAAGAAAAAATGTAAAGGGTCTGAAGATGAAAAAGGATTGTGGAAAAATCATTTCTCATAATCAGCTTAATTTAACATGTAGGCGTAAGGCAAACTGCATAATTGGGCCAGTAGGCCCAAATCAAATAGAAGTCCAATGGACTCAAATTTTATGGGGTCAACAAATAGAAATGATAAAATAAACAAATTCACTGTATAACTTACTGCTACTACTAAACCATAAAAGTTGTAATATAAATATATAACTGTATAGTTTAATTTGTAATGAATAATTTAAATTATAGTGCGACATTATTTTTATTAAAAAAGTGCTTATTAGGTATTATAAATACAATTTAATTAAAACAAATAAATGCTAAATTAACTATTTATAATTGTGTGTTATGCCTTTTTATTTTGGTATGTTTTTATACGAATGAATAAGGACGCATATTGGGTTTAAAGGGGGTATTTCATTTTCATTCAAGACAGGAAAAAAATCAATGAGCACTTAATACAAATGAAAAATGTATATACCATCTTCTACCATGACAAAAAGAAAATTGTATATACGTAATTATTTGATACCTTAAAGAAATTTAATCTCATAAGAAAAAACAAAAAATAAATAAATATAAATTATATAGATAAAGATTAATTTGTTTTAATAATTTAATAGTTAAGATAAATTATTATAAAAAATAATGGAAGAAAAATAATAAATGTTAATAAAAGAGTTTAAGTGATTTTTTTTTTCAGAATGAAATATCTCCTTTTATTCATGTCATATATATAGAAATAATTGCCTAAATAGTGATTCACCACGAGACCATAAAATTGAACATTTTTGGATAAAGCGTGACGCGTTTTGACGCAAATAATTTCGCGATGCGTAAGCACTTTTGTCTGGTTATAAATATCTAGCACCGCTGTTTTTGGTGGTATTTTACGGTCCATGCTCCCTCTACGAAGTTGCAAATTCTTTTCTCTCTTGTACTCTTCTCCACTTCCATGCATTTTTTCCACATTCTTCTCTCCCGTATAGTTTGATGGGTTTCTCTAATTCTTTTAAGTTTTAACAAATATCGATTATTGGTTTCTCCACACATGTTCAAATATTATTGTTTCGTGTGGTAAGAGAAAACTTAAGTTTTTTTAGTTGTTTTTAGCAGCGTTAGTCTATCAGAATTGTAATCTACCTTTGATAATATATTTAATACAAATTTTGTGTTATTATATGTATTGAAAGTCTATTTCTGATTGAAGATGAGTACTGAGGCATGCAAGTAACTCCAGCTAAATGGGGTTTTAATTCTTCAGTGGATGTTATTATTTTCGTCTTAAGCATGGTGCACACAAATTTAATCTTATCGTTACCCTGAGTTTGTTTTGTTGCTTAAAACTGTGTTATTTGACTTTTTTGTTTCATAGGATTCAGTTTTTTCCACCATTTCCCATGAATTTTAGCGTTGATGTGGTAGTGTGAAAACTCTACCTTCACTCCAGGCAAAAGAAGATGGGGAGAAAAATTGTTGCCAAAAACTCTCGATTTTACCATCTTTTGTATTATTATAGAGATTTCTCTGTCTGTAAGTGTTTCGCCTTTTTCTTATAATGAGAAAATGCAATGAGCATTCCACATATAATGGTGGTATCTGTTTATGGTTTCTGCTTGGTGTTGCTATCATGCGGTAGGCTTTTAGGGTGATTGTGATATCATTACGCGCATGCTGCACAAAGGACAAAAGAAATTAATTTATGCTATATCAAACTGTTGTGACACACTTAGGGGTCCACTTTTATCAATATCGGATTCTACTATTGTATCAGTGTTCCCATTTTTATTAATTCCAAATAGCCCAATTGGCCAATTCAATTTGCAATTCTGTCTACTTGTTTCTGCGATGATGATTATCTGTTCATTTTTCTCAGGAAGCCAACAAATTGATTTTTTTGTAGGTAACTGAGCCTTTGAAGGGATAACAGAGAAAAAAGAACCAGCCAATAGGAAATAGCATTGAGACTATGGCAGAAGATGACATATATACACAAGACGGGACCATTACCATCTCCAAAAAACCTGCCAACAAGAAAAAGACTGGAAACTGGAAAGCTTGCTATTTTATTCTTGGTATTGATTTCATTTTGTTAATTTTTATCTTAGAAACTATGTTGTCTTAACTTGCATAATATGTCTAAATTTCAGTGCATATGCTTGAACTAAAACTTGAAGATCCTAAGATGCTGAGTTTTAATTAAATCATTTTGTGGCAGGAAACGAATGTTGTGAGAGATTGGCATACTATGGTATGAGTACAAACCTGGTGAACTATCTTCAGGAACGTTTCAACCAGGGAAATGTAACTGCTGCAAATAATGTCACAACCTGGTCAGGCACGTGCTACATCACACCATTGATTGGAGCGTTTCTAGCTGATTCATACTTAGGAAGATATTGGACAATTGCCAGTTTCTCAGTACTCTATGCCGTTGTAAGTTCAGAAAATATTATTTGTTTTGAGTCCCAAGTTAAGGCATTTAGTTTTCACTCTTCTGAGTTCTGTTTCTTGAATTCTAATCATGCTGCTTTCAAGTTTCAACCCAACTGAGAGAAAAATATGCTCAGTTTCACTATGGTTTGAGAACAAGGATATCGATAGCTTTATCTTTTAACATTCTTTCTATCTTTAACACATTTTATTTATTCCTTTGAAATTTTTAAGTGATTTCAAATTTTGTTATATTTGGACTTCCTTTCAGGACCATATTATGAATAATAGACATTATGTTACTTATTATGGTTTATGCACTTAAGCTACAAACCTATCGATTTGGCTCATAACTCATTAATATAGTTCCTTGATCAAGTTAACAATAGGGCCGGTTTTTAAATCATCGCTTCCAACTCAGTTGAGAGAACAACATGTTCATTTTCACATGATATGATTAGTTTTATCTTTTAAACATCATTCTCTCTTTGAACTCATTGTATTCATTCCATTTGAAATGTTCAAGTGATTTCAACTTTTATTCTATTTAAACTGCCTTTCAGAGCCCTTTTATGTAGAAGAAAAGGATAAAATAACACAGCAAGCAATAATGAATAAGCTTTTGTTAATGAATGATTATTTACTATGCAGGGGATGATACTTTTAACACTGTCTGCTGCTGCCCCTGGGATAAAGCCATTATGTGATGGTAATGGTTGTCATCCAACATCAGCCCAAACTTCAGCTTGCTTCATAGCACTGTACCTGATTGCTCTTGGAACTGGTGGTATCAAACCATGTGTCTCAGCTTTTGGTGCAAACCAATTTGATGATTCAGACAAGAAAGAGACAATAAGGAAGAGCTCTTTCTTCAACTGGTTTTACTTCTCCATTAATATTGGTGCACTTGTTGCTTCCTCAGTATTAGTTTGGATACAGATGAACATAGGCTGGGGATGGGGTTTTGGAGTTCCTGCTGTTGCAATGGTCATTGCAATTATATTTTTCTTTAGTGGTAGCAGACTCTACAGGCTTCAAATACCTGGAGGCAGTCCCCTTACAAGGATTTGTCAAGTAATAGTTGCAGCCTTAAGGAAAATCAGCCTTAGAGTGCCAGATGATGAGTCTCATCTTCATGAGACAGTAGATGTAGAATCTGTCATCAAAGGGAGCCGCAAGCTTGATCATACAAATCGCTTCAAGTGAGTTATAAAGAAACCCCTGCATCTACTTTGTATAAATTAACATCAGTCATGAAATGAAATATCCATTTTCTTTTGTTTTTTAGGCACAGTCAAGGATACATATTTATATTATAGTTAGAAACAAAAGTACTTCCTATACGATTGAAATTAAAGTATATAATTACGGTAAATGCCTCACTTTACAAACTGCTTATCAAGGTACAAATTTAGTGATTGTTGTTCGCCATATCAGACCAATTGCTATCAAGCCATAATTGGATTACTCTTACATGTCTAATCCTCAATACGAGGAGAGTTAAAGATCCTATCACATGACTAATAAAATATATAAGAATGAGATAATCTTCATTTAATAAACCGATTATGTAAGTTTTAATTAGTCCCATGTTTTAAATTTAAAACAAAACTAGTAAAAAGCAATAACTTGGAGTGTATATGCATCTTTTATTGGACTTCACCATAAATAAGCTGTTGTATACTCTTTCATCCTGAAGTTTGATTCATAATGTGCCTTTTCTGAGCACAAAATGTGTTGATGATTCCACCTAGGTGTTTGGATAAGGCAGCCGTAGAGACCCAATCTGACCTTGCCACAGGTTTGCCAAATCCTTGGAGGCTCTGCACTGTGACACAAGTTGAGGAACTCAAATCAGTGATCTCTTTACTCCCAGTTTGGGCATCATTGATTGCCTTTGCAACTGTATACGGTCAAATGAGCACCATGTTTGTTCTACAAGGCAACACAATGGACCAGCACATTGGCCCTCACTTCAAAATCCCATCAGCTTCCCTTACCATTTTCGACACACTAAGTGTCATCTTCTGGGCTCCGTTTTATGACCGCATCATTGTTCCATATGCAAGCAGGTTCACTGGCCACAAACAAGGGTTCACACAACTCCAAAGAATGGGAATTGGCCTTGTAATCTCCACCATAGCCATGGTTGTTGCTGGCATTCTAGAAGTTGTTCGCCTTGACATGGTCAGAAAAAACAACTATTATGAACTTCAGACCATCCCCTTGTCAATCTTCTGGCAAGTGCCCCAGTACTTTCTTGTTGGATGTGCAGAAGTTTTCACCAACATTGGTTCCTTAGAGTTCTTCTATGGTGAGGCACCAGATGCTATGAGAAGCTTTGGTATGGCTCTCTCACTCACAACTAATGCCTTGGGAAGTTATGTTAGCACACTGCTTGTCACTATTGTTACTAAGATCACCACAAGACATGGTAGTCTTGGTTGGATCCCTGACAATCTAAATAGAGGCCACCTTGACTATTTTTACTGGCTTTTGACCATTCTGAGCTTTATCAATTTCTTTGTGTTTCTGTGGGTTGCAAAGAGTTACAGGTACAAGAAGGTGGCTGGAAAATAGCTTGAGGTTGGACAGCTATATTTGCTGAAGACTTTTAAGTATTTTTATCTTGGAATTTGCATGAATTTCTTGGAACAAGTATTTGTATACATCTTATTTGGAGTGCTTTGGTAATTAGTTTTCGGATTCTTTTTCTCTTTTTAACTATTGTGTACATCTTTGAATATGATCCAAATCTTTTTTGCCAATCCACTGGGTTTGTTCTTGATGCTTCAGGTTACCATTTATTAAAGTCATCATTTCTTGCACTTAATACATTATTATTTAAAAAAAAAGTATTAAAATTGATAAAAAAAACTAAGTGCATTGAGTGATACAAGACATTTTGAGTGCCAAGATACTTCATCATTGGTGGATGATTGTTTGTAATTTGTATATTGAAATGAGTTAATACTCATAAATGGAGAACCTGTATTTAATATTTATGATATGAGAGAATTTTTCGAGTTAGCAGCAATTCTAATATCGTAAGTACAATTAGATTTTGTTCTAACTAGCTTAAAAATAGGTTACTCACACATAAAAAAGAAATCAGATTGACTGACCTTAAACCATGTAAACACAACTTTGTTAACTATAATTTCAGTAGACCAAATCAGAGCATTTTAAAAAGGCTGAGGCATAACAACACTTTTTCCATCTTCAAAAAGAGAACACCAGTAAGATAAAGTAAACATTTAATGGAACAAAACCCTTTCATGAATTTTTTTACAGCTAAGTGAAAGAGAAGACTACAAACTCCACATTCAACACCAATCATCATCAAATCACTCTCATTTTAGCCACACAAGCAGTCTATTCTAAGAGACTTAGAATAGTAGAGGGAAGGAGTGTTTCCATTCACTAGTGTGAATCGAACATCATGTAAGAACTTTCCTTGTTCCTCCTCTCTAACCTTTCTTATTCTTATATTGAATAAATCAAAGTGGTGAGACATAAGTAGCATTCTTGACCATGTAAATGTCCCTCCACCAAATTGAACTAGAAAAAAAATGTCCAATCATAGCATTATCATAAAATAAGAATGGAAATCGAGCAGCATCAGAATCTAAAAAAGTGTCAATTTCATTTAGCTAAAAGCCTCAAGTTAAAAGAGTTTCAGATCCTTTACCTCTATGCCATCAAAATCTTAAAAAATGTCAATTCATTTTCTCAGCTAATCCAAACAATTTTATGCCTGTCATCTTCATCAAACCGAAAAGAATTATTTATTACATGTTTAGTATGTTTAAAACCTTAAACATTTTAAGGGGAAGTAATGCAATTGAAGATAAAATAGAATTTATTAGCACAACACAACCACCTAGACACTATTTTCCCTTTCCTTGTTATAAATTGTTCAGTCATAGATTAAATAATTTGTGCCCAAATGACAATCTTTCTTGAATTTGCTCTCACCAAACAATCCATAAAAACTTAAAAAGAAAGAGTATCTAGACTATAACACAAAAAATTAGTTACTTCCACCATTACATGTTAGGTATTTCTACTGTGATACCATTCCTCGGAACGTTGAAAATTCAAGTGAGTTTGAAGTCCCACATTAGGTACAAATGAGACCTGAGTCAACCATAGAAGAGAATATGACACCACTTTCAACCCAAAACCTTAAGACATTAGGTTATGGGTCTTTCTCACTTATAAGTTACTCCACTTTCTCATTTCTACTTAACGTGGGACTTCAAACTCACAATTGAATTCTCAACATCTCCCCCTCAAGTGTGATTCCCTTTCACATTGGTATACCTCCCTCTCGAGCGGAAGTATTTCTTAGTCATGAGTACCTAATGATGACCTTACTTGTACCGCTGTTCAACTTAACGGAACTCACTTGCCTGAAACCCTTGTCAGGAAGACTTTCGACACAAGGACCTTGCACTTACTATACTTAACTGAGCTGGTCATGGACAAACTATTGGCTCTGATACCACTGTTAGGTATTAGACAAAAGCATAAACATACACAAATAAAATAAAAAGATGAGAAAAACACTGACAATAGGCAAAAGAGTAATTCTACTAATGAAAGAAATTATAATCATTCTCTCTATCTCCAAGGAGGAAACAATAACACCATTTCCTGAAAATAAAGGAAAAATAACTCTAAGAGAACCTAAAAGGAGAAACTATTTTTTTCTCTTAATTTATCTCTTAAGTACTAAAGCAACAAGAGAAAGAAAAGGAAGTGATTTTGATGTGTATTACAAGATAAACACTCGTGTTGCTTTTATAGTAAAAAAAGTGAGCACCTCGAGATTTCCTTGATGTGGGACTTTGCTTCTCACAATCTCCCACTTAAAGATTTTGATTAAATTAATCAAATATTTACACCATGCTTGATTTATTCTTGTCATCCATGTTGCTTCTTTTTTTGCTAGATCATAGTAGGATCGACTTCATATAAACTTGTTAGCACTAACCGACTTTGTCATAACATCTACTAGGTTTTCATCCGTGTGAATCTTTTGCATATCCACACTATCCTCTTCCACTACTTCTTGAACAAAATGATATATTATTCCTATGGGTTTTGTCCTAGAA